CTCCCACAAAAGATTATGGCAATCCAGTATGTCAAGCTTTGAAAGGTGAGTACGAAAAGGGTGTTATTCGTCAGCCAACATTAAATGGTATAGTAAATAAATATGAAGATATGTACAAGTAAAACAATAACAAACAATACAGTATCAAGCTGTATGCTTAATAAAGTTTTTGGTAAAATTTGTTGACTCTCTTATGTTGATGGCCTCATAGTGAATTTTAATTAGCACTGCAGAACGACGTCCATTATAATTCGAAAAAGAATCATTTATATGTCAACATACGAACTGTCTCCCACAAAAGATTATGTCAATCCAGTATGTCAAGCTTTGAAAGGTGAGTACGATAATGGTCTTATTCGTCAGCCAACATTAAATGGTATAGTAAATAAATATGAAGATATGTACAAGTAAAACAATAACAAACAATACAGTATCAAGCTGTATGCTTAATACAGTTTTTGGTAAAATTTGTTGACTCTCTTATGTTGATGGCCTCATAGTGAATTTTAAATAGCACTGCAGAACGACGTCCATTATAATTCGAAAAAGAATGGCGGCGAAACTAATATGTTTTGAATTTTCAGCCGCTTACAATAGGTCTTATTTAACAAATTACCCTTTTGAGTATTTTTTCCTAAAGAGAATACATTCAAGAAGTCCTATAAACCAAATAATATGAAAAAGAAACATTTAATTGTAAGGATACTCGTTATTCAAATATAGATAAAGAGGCGTGTGCCATTCTACATTGCTATCCAACTACAATAAATAGACAAGATCTTTATCGACAACAAAAATAAACATGCGTACTGTTGTACGTTTGTTTTTTCTACATTGCCTAGAGGTATAGGGGGAGGGTTGAGATCTCAAAAAACATGATTAACCCCTGTCCCAAGTCAGGAGCCTCTGGCTGTTTTTAGTCTTGTATCATTTTTAATTTTAGTTTCTTGTGTATAATTTGGAGTTTAGTATGACGTCCATTATCATTGAACTAGTATACATATTTGTTTAGGGGCCAGCTGAAGGACGCCTCCGGGTGCGGGAGTTTCTCGCTGCATTGAGGGTCATTTTGAAAAGATGTGAGATACCGTTTGAAATATATCAATTGTGTTATTATATATTAAAATTTTACTTCGTTTCACTCTCTACACTTTTCGATGCCTATTATGAACGAAAAACTTTCATTTGGAAGGGCCATACTTTTCTAAAACAAACAAATAAGCAAACAACCAAAGAACAAGTAAACGAACAACTCCGATATCTGTTTGAAAGGAAATAATCGATAAAGAGGTACAAACGCAGATGATTAAATGAGATGCGAAAGATACCAGAGGGGCATTCAAACTCATAAGTCGAAAATTAACTGACAACGCCATGGCTAAAGAAAAACAAAAACAGACAGACAATAGTACACAAAACTCAATATAGAAAACTAAATACTAAGTAACACGAACCCAACAAAACACTGGGGGGGGGGGGGGGGGGGAAAGGGGGGGGTTTCATGTGCTCTGGAAAGGTAAGCAGATCCTGCTCCACATGTGGTACAAGTCGTTTTGTTCATGTTAATACAAACTCGGTATCAAATCTAACTCGGTAGGTCACATTCGTGAAAAGGGGACGGGATTGTAGTTACGACATTAGGAACATATCCGCTATCATCTGTGAAACGGATATTCAATAACGGTCAACCAACACGTGATGGTGTCAGTAAAATTTACGAAGGAATGATTTCAACTTTACCATTTAGAACACTTGTGTTAGACATTAACCCTCCCTTTCGAGTGTTAATACATTCTCTAAAAAAATGAATTGGTAAATCTAAAAAATTGTATAAGCCTTTTATAATATTTGTAATCCATTAAAATTTATATATATATATATATATATATATATATATATATATATATATATATATAAGGCTATTCCGAACGAATCAAACAACAAAGAGAAAACATTTTCCACTTTCATCAGCTATGAGACGGCTAGCTTTTTAGAAAAGCTATTACTTGTTCCTATTACAATCGTTTTCTTTATTTTCATTGTCTATCAAACTATGAATTCGATAAATTTAAACTTTTAGACAGACATTTTTAAGTGGTTCTTGTTTTGACATGACATTTTCCTGCATACATTTTAAAACCTCAAAAACTCCCAATATGTTTTCATCTGGGCATGAATTGTTACTGTTTTCTCCAGCAGTAAATGCATTTTATCCCTTATCTTTGTGCCGCAAATATTTACATTAGGTGTTGAATTCATACAGATACTTCATTCTTTTGAAAGTATTGCAGAAAAAAACCTTCCTTTGTTCTTAACACTCCACTGATATGTAAGTTTTAGTATAAAAATTCCGAAAAGAATACAGGTCGGAAAAGTAAATGGTAATATTATCTATCAAATATATGTCCCCCAAATCAAAAGACCCTTTACAGATTTGAATATTTCTCCATAACATATTTCTTTAGATAAATGTTGACTTAATGCAATTTAAGAAATGTGTCCTTTGATAGACCCAAAAGTGAAACTTTCTGTCAATTTCATAGAATACATTTTGACATTTATCATTTCATAGTTATATAAATACCTACCAAAGTTGTATGATAACTTTGATTTTACATTTATACCCCTATTTAGTAAGAAAAAACAATGATTGCGATGTTGTGTTCATCCATAAATATGTCCCTCTGTTTTCGAGTTTGTTTAATTGATACTTTTGCAAGTCATCCTTAAATAGTAAATTATGCATTTCTATGCTAATTTAGCATAATTTGTCTTAATTCAACTCTTTGTATACATTCTTTTTACTTTTCATTCTAACATTTCCTTAAATTTCCCATATCAAGACATTTCACTGCCATATTATATAATAAGTTTGGATTGACAGAACACACTTATATTGTATCAAAAAGAATTTGAACTACCATTTATGGTAATATGACGTTGGTTGATATCTGCGTAATGTAGCATGGTCTGCTTACTGTTCTTTTCCCTCAGACTCTCAACAGACGAACTACATCTGTGAGAGCTGATACTGGGTCTTTACATGTTGGGGGAAACTAGCTTAGAACAATGCCTTTGATGGTGTATGGCATTGCTGCCGATGTAAAGGCAGGCCGGGCGTTGTTGCCGATGTAGAGGCAGGCCGGAACAACAACAGGAAAGAAAACCAAACTAGAATATCAAGAAACTCGCTATTAATTTAATAAATAAAACATTGAAATAATTACAATATAATTTCAAAGTACACATTTTGAAGTCAAAATAAGTTGAAAACAATGATAAAATACTACAAACAATTCAAGTTAAATACCAAATAATAACAATGATAATTACTGTTAAAATAAACCTCTGAATTAAAATATTAGTTACTTATAAACTTTATTTATTTTTCAAAATTAAATTAAAAGAAAATAATTTTAAATCTAAATTATTTTCAAAACCAAGAGACTCACCTAGAATATCAAGAAACTCGCTATTAATTGTATAGCGGCTTGATCAGTTTATATACTAAGTTTTGAATGTTTTAGTAACCCTTAACTGACTATAACAAACAAAAGAATTGAAGATTTATGAGGTATCAATAAAATTTAGAATGCTCAAATATAATTATGGTCTAAGATTAGGTCGAAATTACACGTCACATAAAACTGGTTTTTCTTTCATCTCTTCAATTTCTTATTCTAAAATTGCCAACCTATGTTTCGAATATATTTATTACCATTTCCCTAACTATAATATAAAACAATTACAACGTAAATCCGTATAACATAGTATAAAATAACATTATAAATATTAATCCGGATCTTAATCAAAAGTAATTATGGAACTAGTTTGTGCTTTATAGCTTAACACAAACAAAGCTGCTGATGTGAGTTGACCGTTGTCTGAACTTTTAAGATGTTTTATTAACTTTGCTGGACATATAAATGAAGGTCCATTTGGCCACAGCTGAAGTTTTATTGCACAGATACGTTCAGTAGTTTGTTAAAGTATTTATTTGACATATTTGAAATATCCTACGCTTTGAAAATGTATAGAACAGTTAAACAATAATGTCATATAAAATAGTTTACAGAGTAGAACTTACATACATTAACTAATAAACTATATGAAATAAAATAAATTGCATTTTTCTATTACAATTATAATATAAAACGTGATAAACATAAAATCGAAGGAATAATTGTAACGTCATCTGTATCCAAAATTTATGTCAAATATCTGTCACAATACTTATCCTTATGCCGTTGTAATGATAATCACTGTTACAATCATATTTTTCGCATCTCATATCTAAAATTAAAAAAAACGTTGTGTGTATTATTCTAGCCTTTATAAAAGTAACCTTTGTATTCATGTTAAAAAATGCACATTTCATTGTAACAACTATTTTCAGATTTAAGGTTTAATAAACATAGCTTGCTGTTCGGGGTGTGAGCCAAGGCTCCGTGTTGTTTACTTTTTACAGATTGTGACTTGGATGAAGAGTTGTCTCATTGGCACTCATATCACATCTTCTTATTTATATATCTCTGCAAATTTAGTTACTTTCATTATGCATCACTGTGTATCATCGCCACAGGAAATTTGGTACCAACGAAGTGATGAGAAAGGGGAAAAAAATAAACAAGGTAAGAAATCCTTTCTCTGTAAGAAACAGCATGAACAGATGAGGCCAGCGACTCTTTTCACAAAAATTCTTACGATTAAAATTGATCGTAAGTTATACTGAAATGTGTATGACTTACTAGTATTTTTACTCTTAAGATTTTTGGCGAAAAGAGCCGCTGGTCCCCAAGGATCAGCACAATTGTTATTGCCTGAATGGAAAACCCTAGGGTCTGTCGCAGACGGTCTTCGACTCCAACAACCCCATAGTACCATACGACTCCAAAAATTTGTGAAATCATGCATAAAAATCATAATGACACAAAAATATTTATTATTCACAACAATCTGTTAAAATCATATTTACCGCCTTTTGTCGGATACATAATACATACATGACTGACCGAGGAAGTAATATTACATTTGTTCAAGTTACATCTAAGATCACAGGTATGTATTACAAAAAATAAACCTTCTATTTTCATTTTTGTATTTACATATATGTATAATGAATTTGTAACCGTGTATAACTCATAGACAGTTAAAATGCTAATCCTTTCCCAATGCTACGAGTGACAATGCATACATCCTCCATTGTTTACATCATCGTCCTTTGGTCTTACTTGGTGGATACTTCTCTCATTTGCAGTCATATAATCTCCTTATTTTTTATTATGTTCAATTGTTGATCCCTTGCTGGCATGTTGTTCTGTCACATCATTTATTTAAATGACATACAAATTTCATTGAAATCAATGCTGCTTCGAAATCTTTGAAACAAAACTATATTAAAAAAACTCACCAAAAATTCTTCAAAGATTAAAACAGTCATTAGAACATATTTTTTATTCTTTGTCACAAACAATTATGTTTATATGACAATACCAAGTATTGGAGTATATTGAAAACTCTGTAAGAAACAGCGTGAACAGATGGGGCCAGGTCCCCAAGGATCAGAAAAGTTGTTATCGCCTGAATGGAAAACCCTAGGGTCTTGTCGCAGACGCACTTCCGACTCCAACGCTCCCATAGTACCATACGACTACAAACATTTACAGTTGTGAAATCATGCATATAAATCATAATGACACAAAAATATTTATTATTCACAACAATCTGTTAAAATCATATTTACCGCCTTTTGTCGGATACATAATATACATATATGACTGACCGAGGAAGTAATATTACATTTTCATTTTTATAATTACATAATATGTATAATGAATTTGTAACCGTGTATAATTCATAGGCAGTTAAAATGCTCATCCTTTCCCAATGCTACGCGTGCCCTAGATACTTAACGGTAGAAAATATTTCAGGAGTATCGTACATATTTTTGACTAAAATTATCGTTCGAATCTTCGAGTACCCGCTGATGAAAACTAGTTCTTGCATCTTATGAACTTTAATAATTATAAGTAATTTTAATATTGAATTATTATGACAAAGTTAACAAAAATGGTGTATAGTTGACCATTTTATGTATTTTTTTGTCCAGTCGTTTGATTCAGTGTTGGCTTGTTAAAGTATAGCCTCATTTCTTCTTATTCATATTTATTGAGCCTACTACAAATTAAGATAAGCTGCTGGTTTAAAGCCGTAAACAAGGGAGAGTCTATTTAAAAGTAAATACGAAATATATACTTGTTTACATATAATTTCGTCGAAAATGCTGATTATTGTTTGAGTCTCTAGTTGTGCGCTTTCAGTGGTAGACCACGAGATTACATTCGACAGAATTACTCTATGGTTGCATGTATACATATATGCATGTTAACCTATGACATCTTTAGATCTAGTATCACAGCAGTATTTACATCTCTCCAAAAGGGTCCATGCATAAACAAACATAGCGTGCAATTTTGGCTAACCTCATTTATTTAAGAACAGCTATGCTCTTCAGTTCGAAATTGAAATCTACAATAACTTGTGGAAATGTTTAAACTTTGAGATACCTGTGCTGTCTGTTTTAGGAATATGATATCAAAATGACGATTGTTGAAATAGCGGACTCACTTGATACGGGTGGCGATACACACGACTGTGGTCATGATCACGGTACTGGACAAAACACCTCACAGACCACTGCCCAAACCGGCCAGTCCACAGAACAGTGCATTGAAGACTATGATCATATGCGATACGAGAGATACCGTCTAGAAACTTTCAGAACATGGCCACAGTCAGCCAACGCTGATAAAAACCAATTGGCAGCCAATGGCTTTTATTACATTGGTGATGACAATGATGACAGGGTTCAGTGCGACTTTTGCAAAATAATTCTGAAGAAATGGGAACCAGGAGATGTTGTCCAGGAGGAACATAGAAAGCATGGTCCACTTTGTCCTTATGTTAAGGATCCTGCACATGCAGGCAATTTTCCGCTTGGTTTTCGGAGTTTTGATAGTACTCATCGTCACTACCACGGTCCCCGTCACCTTGAGTATCAAGATAGGCGTATAAGATTCGAGTCCTTCCATAACTGGCCTATTAACAAAAAAAGAAGACCAACCCCTGGTGAACTGGCAAATGCAGGATTTTTCTACCTTGGTAATAAAAATAGTGATATAAAAAGAAGCAGATGTAGTATGGTTGCCATTGAGTCTATTATTTTCATTCTCTTTGATACTTTATAAGATTTAATCTGTGCTTTTCATTACTATGGTTATTTTAGATCATCATGACTGATTAATTGTGTGATTTAAAGTGTTTTATACAATATCTGGGCATTGGATGGAGCATATAAAAATTATTAAAAAGAACTGCATTTTACTGCTGTTCTTCAACCTTTATTATTGACCTGGTGAAAAGTCTACAACAATCAGCTAAAATTGCCACACCTGACAGCAAGTCATAAAGAACTGGTGTTTTGAATTAGTTTAAACTTTCTTTTTTGTTTCTAACACATTAATCGGCAAACTGGGTTTTCAACTCTCTACGAGGAAAATAAATCACGAAGACTTAATAAAAGGTTCTTATTTCTATTATAGGACAAGGTGACTGTGTCAAATGTTTCTATTGTGGAGGAATGTTGAGACACTGGGAAGAAACAGATGATGTGTGGGCAGAACATATGAAATGGTTTCCTCTTTGTCTATTCGTCGTTGAACACGACCCATCATGTCACGGAGAAATTGGGCGCCATCTTCAGAGAACCATTAGTGGCATAGCCTTGTCAAACGGTTATTCCGATGAAGAGATCACTGGCTACAGACAATACATAGAAGACAGTCAATGTTGGTATATTACAGACCACATCAGTTAATTTTAAATAATACATTATTCCCGTTCCTGGAGCTTTTATATATGCTTTGACTTAAATCAAGGTTAATATTATTCTAATGTTCATAGAACACAGAGTCGACTCGTAGTATATGAATTACTGTAAAACACAATATTTATATTGCTTTCTGTTTCTGTTTTTGTTAAAATACTATAGTTTCCCATTTATTTCCTTTTTCATTTCCGGGCACATGTCTATGTCTTAGATTTTTATGATATAGAATTGTGTACATAGAGTATTTTAATGCATGAATAATATGAGATGTAGGTTACTAGTATATGTCAACGAGATATCGACGCAACGACACAAAATTATAAGACATGCACGTTTTGTTTAGAGTGTTATCAATAGAGAATTTTAAGTTTCAAACGAAACTTAAGTAACTTAACGCAAGTAACTCAGGGGCTTACAATTATAAGACATAATATATATATATATGCTGGAGGTTTTAAGATGAAAATATTTCTGGCCCTGATTTTGACTGATTCGTTCCGCATCAAAATCCTTGAAACCCCACCCCCACCCCCTAAAAATTAAATGTTTGGTGCCTAAATAACAAATTAAACAAGCTTATGCGTTAAACATAAGGTTTTTTCTTATACACTAATATCTCTATTTGAATAAACCGTAGGCAGCATTCATTTATTTTTTTGGGAGAGGACTTGGATCAAATTTGAAATAAACAGGCAGGACCCGAATTTATGGTGAAACAAATTTACGATGAGCATTTTTAAAATCAAAAGGCAAAATAAAAAAAAATGGCCGCAAAATAAGATGATTCGGAATACCAAAAAAATCGTGAGGGCAAGCGAGGAAAAAATCGACAGCTTGATTGACAGTTAAACTAGTACAATATTGCCATGTGACAATCAATTCCTATAGTTAATACGCTGATCATGGTAAAAGGGGCGGATCCAATAATCTTAGAATCGAATCACGCTTAGTTGACATAAATGGTTAAGATATTATTATTCGGGTTTCCCATTCCGCTTCATTTGATACCGTATATCGCCTTGGGATAACTTTCATGTCGCCTTGGAAACTTTTTTTGTCGACACGTCGACCTTTTTTAGCTCACCTGGCCCAAAGGGCCACGTGAGCTTTTCTCATCACTTGGCGTCCGTCGTCCGTCGTCCGTCGTCGTCGTCCGTTAACTTTTACAAAAATCTTCTCCTCTGAAACTACTAGGCCAAATTTAACCAAACTTGGCCACAATCATCATTAGGGTATCTATTTAAAAAAATGTGTACGATGACTCCGCCTGCCAACCAAAATGGCCGACATGGCTAAAAATAGAACATAGGGGTAAAATGCAGTTTTTGGCTTATATCTCTGAAACTAAAGCATTTAGAGCAAATCTGACATTGGCTAAAAATGTTCATCAGGTTAAGATCTATCTGCCCTGAAATTTTCAGATGAATCAGACAACAAATGTTGGATTGCTGCCCCTGAATTGGTAATTTTAAGGCAATTTTGCAGTTTTTGGTTATTATCTTGAATATTATTATAGATAGAGATAAACTGTGAACAGCAATAATGTTCAGCAAAGTAAGATCTACAATTAAGTTAACTTGACCATAATGGTCAGTTGACCCCTTAAGGAGTTATTGCCCTTTATAGTCAATTTTTATCCATTTTTCGTAAATTTTTGTAATCTTTTACAAAAATCTTCTCCTCTGAAACTACTGAGACAAATTTAACCAAACTTGTTCACAATCATCATTAGGGTATCTAGTTTCAAAAAGGTGTCCGATGACCCCGCCCGCGAACCAAGATGGCCGACATGGCTAAAAAATAGTACATAGGGTAAACTGCAGTTTTTGGCTCATATCTCTGAAACTAAAGCATTTAGAGCAAATCTGACAGGATAAAATTGTTCATTAGGTCAAGATCTATCTGCCCTGAAATTTTCATACCAATCAGGCAACACGTTGTTAGGTTGCTGCCCCTGAATTGGTAATTTTAAGAAAAGTTTGCAGCTTTTGGTTATTATCTTGAATATTATTATAGATAGAGATAAACTGTAAACAGCAATAATGTACAGCAAAGTAAGATCTACAAATAAGTCAACATGACCAAAATTGTCAATTGACCCCTTAAGGAGTTATCGCCCTTTATTATCAATTTTTTACAATTTTCATAAATTTTGTAAATTTTTGTAAATTTTTACAAAATATTTTCCACTGTAACTACTGGGCCAAGTTCATTATAGATAGAGATAATTGTAAGCAGCAAGAATGTTCAGTAAAGTAAGATCTACAAACACATCACCATCACCAAAACACAATTTTGTCATGAATCCATCTGTGTCCTTTGTTTAATATGCACATATACCAAGGTGAGCGACACAGGCTCTTTAGAGCCTCTAGTTCTTCCCGCGACAGCTTTCTTTTTTTCAGAGTAATTATCTTTCCCCGGCTTCGTGGGTAATAGTAACACAATGCTACCTTCAATCCTTCTGCCTGTCCGTCGGTCCGTCCGTTCATAACACCCTTGTTGACACTCTTAAATCTGCATCCTTCAAGGGATTTTAAACATGGCAAATTTATCACACCGCGAGATGTTCTGTTTTCACTTGTTATAATGAGCTTTCCTAGGTAAAAGTTTTCAAACTGTTTTTCTTGATAGATTATTTTCAATGCCACACACATGACACAGGTCATTCATTTTTACAAAGAATAATTGAGCTTTCAATGAGATCAAACAAAATCATGTTTGGTAATCTTACAAATATTAACAAAATCCCTATATTGCAATCAAATAATCACCCCAAAAACGATCTGATAATCATATAATCGGGGTATTTTAATATGCCTAAATATTAGAAAAAACATTACAACCTTCAGGTTTATATTTACCTAAATTACTGAACTTGTGTCATTAAACTTTAATCAACTTTATCCTTTTTAGAAGAAAGACGTTCAGAAAACTCATATTCCCGTATACTCTTTAAACGCAGCACGCCATATTGACAAATTGGTTGAATAGAAACTCTTTTTCTACGAAGATAGGAAACATTGTTAACTGTATATCATTTAAGATATACCTGTGTCCCCTGCGAAGAAAGTTTGCCTTTTCGTTTGTTCAAATATAAGTGAAAACTCTCTCTATCGTGGAATATGCTATTTTAAAATAGATTTGAACTAAATGGGGAGTTAAATGTAGAAAGGGAGACAAATACAATTTTACAATGACCAAGTTTATGCGTATTACGTACGTCAAAATGTACGATTTTTGTTTAATTTACAAGTTTAGTGGCCAAAGGGGGATAACAATAATCATTTATTTGAAATGTTAATGTAAATTACGTTAAAGTACGTCTAAAACCTAAAATTCTCTATTATAAAGATATATAATGATGTTTGAAAGTTGATAGCGGATTATTTTCGATGTAAGAGAATAAATATTTTTAAATTGCATTTTTTTTAAATTTACATTTTACTATTTTTTGCGGATATCGGTTCTTTATTTTCCCGGGTTCTTCTTGAGATAATCACAACAAGCACAGCCTACTGTCGTTATCGTTTCATAGAGTTTCAGACGTTTATCTATGTGACACTATACCAATAGTGGTTCCGGCGTATAGTGCAGAGATATTTCTCAGATTTGGTTTGGACTTCAATGACAGAAATTACTGTAAAAATGTTACAAAAATTCAATTTTTTATGAAGAAAACGTAAGTTTACTACTGATCAATCAAGGATAAGATAAGATATACATCGTTCGATGGACGCCCATTAATAAGATAAGTTCCCACTAGCCCTTTTGAGCCAGGTAACTTAAATGGATTTTATCTTCAACAAAAACCACATGGTTAATAAAGTCGACTTTTTGGTATTCGTATATTTTATGATGATTCGATAAATCATCTAGTTATAACTATCTACCGCCTCACAAAGGCCTTTAGCATACGTCAGCGTGCAATACTCTATGGCAGAAATTTGCTATAAATAAAACTAGGGAGATGTAATATGATTGCCAAGGAGACAACTATCTTTATTATAAAGACGTGAACAATTACATGTCATCGTGCGGCCTTTAACAATGAGCCAAACTGAAACCCATACTGTTTATATTTAGCTATTAAAGATCCCTTGATGACAAGATGTGAGACAGTTCAAGGAGAAATCCAACGACCTGACTTATACTACAACAATAAATGAACCAAAAAAGTTGGCAGACAACAACAAACGGCAGTCACTGTATTAATACAGGCTCCTCATTTAAATGCTGCAATAAATTAGCTACACATATCTTGTCTTTTAGTGCCACACCCAGAGGAGTACAGAGAATTTGTAAATGAATTAGACCAGTATAGGCACAGGCAAGTTCAAATATCTGTCTCTAGTGTAGCCAGTAATGCCACAGTGACAAGTTAGTATTCTTTGATTATTTCTATATTTTCTTTTTATATTTGCTGATGTTAAATAACTTAAAGAATATTTCTATTATTACCATTATTATAATACATGCCTGAAATAATTGCCACCGGACTTTATGCAAATATCAATCAATCATTGTATTTCCTCACGCCAATATCATTATTTGCAACAACTTCATTACAATTTCATATAAAGATTTTCTGTATTTCAAAGTTATAATTTTCAAATCAGGATAATCTTGTATTTTTATTTCCACACATTTTGAATATTTTATTTTGTTAAAGGTGAAGTAAATCCACAACATGCAGCTAGTAGAACCAATGTGGAAGATCAGAACGAGCGTTATTTGTGTAAAGTTTGCTATAAAAATCCGCTAGAGGTTATTTTTTATCCATGTAAACATGTCTGCTGTTGCCAGGAGTGCGGTGATAAACTACCAGAATGCCCTGTTTGTAGGACAAACATTAGGGGGAAACTACAGCTTTTCTTTCCTTAGAATTGTTTTATAATGGTTTTATACAAGTATATTCTATACTTGTTCGTTAATTCAAGTTAAATGTAGCTTTAATACACCTCTTTGCCGTGTTAAATTCCGTTTCTCTAATTGTGAGAAAGTCTGCATTATTAATAATATATATTTAAACAATTGATAACTGTTGTGTGTATTTTTGTGATACTTTTTTAATTTATCATTATTATTAATACATAAAAAAATAGTTTTTATAATTAAAATAATTTATCATATACACATAAACAAATAAACAGATGTTACATACATTGTATTTTACAACCTTGTATCTCATAGGAATCCGAAGATCATTGTTTAATCTTGTACTTGAAATGCTTATAGAACAAAATTTTGATTAAAGTTATATAAAAACGAGTTTCTGGTGATCAGAGGCGGACTAAATGGTTCCCCTTATGGAGCTATATATAAGACTGATGCAGTTTTTTTTACTAGTTACACTGCTAACGTTGCCAACCTCGGCAACCGCACAGCGCAAATGCGAGGGATGATATATACCGATTTGCTCGTTCAATAACTGTTGATTAATTGATTCTTATAGAACAATTTAAATTAGGAAAAAACTGGAAAAAGCAGTAGCAATTGGCTTTACTCAAAAGATCGGTTACAGACATACAAACAACTAACACGAAAACAGTACACAAAAAGCACCGTGATAAGAGTACTCGCAGTTACTGAAAGCTAGTTTAATAGCCTAGTCAATTTAGCTCTAAAATCGCTCAACCTGCAACTAATTGCAACACAAGGTTTTTTTAATGCAAATTATAATATAGACTTGTACTAACAACATACTAAAACTATACACTGATATAATTTGCGGAAAAGGTTATTTTTGGGTGAAATATGTGGCTTTTAGAGAAAAAATGCTGAAAACTGGAAAAGAAGAAAAATTGTTATTTATGGTTACATTTTTAGACCTAAAGCTTGTTGAAGATAGGAAACCTTACCTTAATAGAGTATTATGTAGTCCTCTAGTTATTACTATTCATATTGAAGTAATTTTGAGGTGAAATGAGTGATTTTTAGTGAAAAAACGCTGAAAACTGGAAACGTAGAAAACCTCTGTTGTTAATGGTTAATATTTTTGAAATTTGATCTATATAGAAAAAAAGAACATACTATTTTATGTTTTATTTGTGAAGTCCTTTAGTTATCAATAATAATATTTGGGTAATTTTGGTTGAATATATGTTTTAAGACCGAAAACCCGAAAAACTGAAAATGAAAATATCTCGGTTATTGATGGTTAAAACTTTCAAATTGGGATCTTAACAGAAAATAGAGAATACTATCTGATGTTTATCTTAAGAAGTCCTATAGTTATTAGTATTTAAAAAATTGTAATTCTTGTGTAAAATGTGATTTGTAGAGAAAAATTGTGAAAAATGGAAATAAAAAACTCGATTATTCATGGTTAAAACTTTTAACATAGGATCTTTATAGACAGACTATATTATCTTATGTTTATGGCATATGTATTCCTCTTGTTAACGATATCAATAATAATCAATTTGTTGTTTGAAATATCTTGTTTTACACACTACAGTCCGTGTAACGTAAAAGTTAACAATACGAACGATGCCCGAATCATGTACGGACGATGCCCGAACGATGTACGTACGCTTCCCGAACGGTGTACGAATGCAAACGAAACGCTGACCGAACGTTGTACGGACGCTGAACGAATGATGTACGAACGAAACCATATACCATAAACCATACCATAAACGATAACATAAGCGCCCTTTTATCGTACATCGTATGGTTTTGCGTACATCGTTTCATTAAGCGTATACCGTATCGTTTAGCGTATTAGCGTACATCGTTTCGTTTAGCGTATATCGTATCGTTTAGTGTACATCGTTTCTTGGCGTGCATAGTTTCGTTTAGCGTATATGTTTTTTTTTAAATATAAAACATGAATGGTGTTCTGTTTAATTTTTTTATATAAGTGATAATAGGCGTAAAATTTAGATTGGATGCATGTTTCAGTTTTTAATTAATAATTTAATAAATTATAATTTGATCTGACTCGATGTTGATCCAAAATTATTTACATAAAACGTTTGAAAAATAAACACTGAAATAAATTTAAACAAATTAAAAGATACGATTATGAATTTTGTTAGCCGTAGAAATACGTACTTGGTGAATGTGCGAGTAAACTGCAGTCTGCATGGTATTTAGTCAACATTTTTTGAAAATAGCCCAAGGTATTAACATTATTTTTTGTACCTAAATGAACAATTGATTTAAGATGGAATTCGGAATTAATCTAATGTTCTTACAAAAGTTTATTTTGGGTCTTAAGGTTGACCTTTTGTCCAAAAGGTTTGTTAAATATTTTTATGTATTCTCTTTTATCGCATGTATTTTAAAATCGACTGAATAGCAGTTGTATCCATATATCGTTTAAACCAATTTTTTTAGATTATAGATATTTTTATTCATCTATCAAATCAGTCGAAAAAAACGAATATTCGAGAAATTTCAAATAAAAACAATTACTCGTTATGTGCCTCATCAACCCTAAACATAAATCCCTACCGATGTACATACGATTGTGTATTATTTTAACTATAAATGCACTTGACTTTAAACTATCATCAACAATTGTCCGGCAAAAAAAATAGACCCTCTATTCTTTAATTTTCTTATACCATTTTCCTCTGTTCTTTATTTTTCCCGTTATACTCTATTCTAATTTTATTTTATTTTTTTCTTTATTTTCCTGTATCTATTACTCCTTTATTCGGAGCAACCCCACCCTAAATATACATATGATACACACGGTCTATAGGTCATCGCTTGTGCCGTGATACATGTTTGCATAACAAAGGATGTCCTTGTTCATATTTATAACATTTTAAATTTCCTCCTAATAATACATTTAATAGTTGCCACTGGACATTAAACAGCTAACTCTAAATTCATCCGTCATATTCTTAGTTTTGTTATAATGTGTAAATCACACAACATGATGAACAAATAATTATTGCAGATTTTCACTGCCGAAATAATGGGAAATAATTGTAAACAAAACCACTCAATCACATCCCTACGCCACAAAGTCTAGCCTTTTCACATGTAAATAAATTATTTTCATAAATCTATTTCAAAATAATTTTAAACAATTTTAAATCAAACGGTCAATTTTCTTATTTGCCAAAAAAAAAAACACAACATCAAACAGTTATTTTCATTTCTTATTTTAAACAGATCGATTGTTTTCAATGGTCGGTGCCTGACAGCATCTATAAAATCTATCACCATGTTTGCCAATAAGAAAGCTTCATAGAACAGGAAAACAACAATGTCTTGTAGAAATACTTCCAGGCCATATTTTCCAATTTCTGTTGTAATGTGGTTTAATGCAAAAAAAAGTAACTCCTGAATACTGATTTGTACCCATCAAGCATTTGGGGTTAATAACAAATCTATGGTAGTCTCTTTTTCTTTACTCGCAAAGTATTCGACTAAATCATGTTTTATTTATGAAAATTGTTCATTGCTGACGAATGTTAAATATTGGTCCCTAGATTTTCAATTGTTTAGTTGTTAGGTTACTGTCTGATCTCGCAAACCTGACATTTTATGGTCATTATGTTTTGCATCCAATTGCACCAATTTTATAAAAAGATATTAACGCGACACCGTACGAGAGTCGTTACTTTACATAAACTACTAGTATTTTTTTTTCTATAACGAAATACGAAACCACTTCTCGCAATTCGCTTTGGGGTAATTGTGCTTCTCTTTTGACAAAATATGGCGTTGTCTCAAAAACAAAAAGTATAATATAATATAGAGTAATATATAAAACTGGACTAGAGTGAAGAGTTAGGAAGTAGGAATTCCGAATTTTAATTGAATGTTCTAAATCTTTGTGTATTTCTGATAAATGATTGTACAGACTCAAAAAAGTCTTTGTTTTGCTGAAATGAAAGGTCACCGTCACCAGCCAATAGAAGCAAAATGGATATAGTAGATCTTTCTAATTTTCAAAACAATATTTCTGTTGCTTCGTTGATAAAAGGGCACTTAAAAAATAATGAATACTATCCTCAACAGGATGGCCACAACTGCATGCGGGATTGTGTTTAATATTAATAAGGTTTAAATCTGCATTTGAAGAACTGCACCATATTTCTCAACTGTGTATCAATGATATTAAGATTTCTATCACCACAACTAAACTAGGAAGTGCGTACTGTGAATAAATTATTATACTCAGTTTACTATTGCTTACAACAATTTATCACATATAATACCACGTTAACAATTAGGCCCGAGAACACAGTTATTTCGTAGTGCATTTCTTTTAGACAATAAATTCAAATTAAAAAAATCGCACCTGCTCTATCTCAAAAAGATTTTTACAGTGTACGTAGTGTACGTACTACTATTGGGACAAATAATATCAAAATTATAGAAACTTCTACCAGCTCCAGAGGAGGGGCGACAGCCTTAGGTGCTGTGTGCAAATTTTTGTAGGTCACGTGGTACGATTTTAGCGTCTCTCGACAATTTTGAATCTGGAAAAGATCGATCTGTTCATGTTTTTATATCAAATATACTCTCTTGCACTCGCAGAAAATATAGAAAGTTTTGAAATAAAAAGATTAATCAATGATAGAAGATCACTTTATATGAAATATTTTCTTTATGTTTTTTATCTTTTAAGTAAATTCTATCAATAAAGAAATGCACTGTAATGGCGGGAAATTTTATTCGATCTCTGCGAAATCACGAGGCACAGATTTTTGTAAATTTTACAAATGTCAGCACGTGAAAATCATTCAAATTTATGCCAATTAAAGAACACTATTCAAACATTCTAAATCTTCTTAAGTCTCCATAAGTCTCCAGCCATTGCTTTGTAATAAGTCGCTAAAATATGATTTCCGGTAAGTAAAATATCAATAATATTTGTCAAATCCGCTAGTAATTATGTTATTTTAGGCATATAAACTCTTATATGTATTTTAATCATTTTGAAAACAAAATGAAAATTTTGTCTTATGAATAACCATCATGATAAATATAGTTTTTTTTCATAATTGAATCGTGCATTATTTGTGTATTGGATTGCTTAATTGCCTTCTCTCTAGTTTTATCTCTGTTTTGTTAACTGACAAATGACGAAATAATGCAATATTTAAAATGAAGTATTTTACAAAACTTTGTCCCGATTAAAAACTTAAAACCGATTGAATAAATTGAGAATTCAGTGATTATCGATGTCGAAATTAGCCCTTGGTAATAAACAGTTAGTTTGGGTATAAATATGTTTATTGTCAAGAAATAACTAACAAATTTGTTTATTATGTATGTACAAAGTATATGTATATTGCATG